ACTTTCTTCCTGTTTCCTTTCTTGCTCTAGTTGCCACTGCTGTAGTCTCTCTTCTTGTTTCTTTTCTCGTTCTTCTTGTTTCTTTTCTTTTTCCTCCAACAACTGCTGTAATCTCTCTTCTTGTTTATTTTCTCGTTCGAGCAGCCACTGTTGCAGGTTTTCGTGCAACTGCTGTTGTCTCTCTTCTTGTTTCTTTTGCTGCTCTTGTATTGCTGCCATCAAATCTGCCAAGCTGTAGTTTGATTTGCGAATTCTCGTTTCCATTGTTTTCTTTCTTTTCAGTCCCACTCTCTGACATCAATTTGTTACGCCTCCAGTCGTTAGTTAATTTTCCGTATAATTTCTTTCTGAAGAAACTTTAGCGATACAAGTCCTTTCTTAAATAAAACTGGTTTATTCTTTCTATATACAACTTTGCAATACACTTAATTTCCACAGTCACGCTATAACAAACGCTATAATTCACAACAAACGTCTCACGTGCTCAACAATACGTCTCTCTCTGCCGCAGTTCTATTACACATTACATTAATCCCGTCACGTCTTGACCGTCTTATATATACAAGACTACCGCATATCTAGTAGGCATATCGAGCATTCAGGAAGGGACGTGAACGTTCGAGAAGTGCATGACGTGTTACTAGCGTCACGTGACCTCCGCTGTCGTAACAATACTGTTGGTGTGAACGTGCTTTGTAGTCACTTTAAGAAAAACCTATACACTGGATTAGGTGAAGTGAAGAAAGAGTGTCATTGTCCACTCTCCGAAACTAGAATAACCCAATAACACATGCTGATCAAAAGTATAGATTGAACTTGACCTGAAGAAAGATACTATAGTACAGGTTGTCAAAAAATATTCCAGCTTAGGTGGCAAGAAAGATATCATAGTACAGGTTGTGAAAAATAGATATCTTAATAAAGGTTGTCAAAAACAGATATCCTAGTAAAGGTTGTCAAAAACAGATATCCTAGTAAAGATTGTCAAGAAAGATATCCTAGTAGAGAGGTTGTCAAAAATGTTACCCTAGTACAAGTAATTATGAAATTAGCGCAGATTTTCTGGTGTTTCTTTTTCGGGCGACAATTCTTTTACTAAATAATGCATAACATTTCAGTTTTGAAAATAATGAACTTGAGAAATATTTCACATAAATTAGTGTTTGAGTTTGTGATTTGGCCTAAACAATAAATCTATTCAATAATTCTAAAACAGGAAACAATTTCTAAGCAGCTACGCTTTGAATGTCAAAACACATTACTCACCTGCTGTAAAACGTTCCCTTTTTTCTCAACTCTCTGTCCTGAAAGTTGTCGCAAGTCAGAGACAGTCTGACTTCCACGATCTTTCACGAAAAGACCAGTCGGAGAAGGTAAAGAATTTCCCGAGAAGTAAAAACAACAGGTAACCACAACGATAAAGGCAATTAGAAATAAGTGTGCTCTGGACGTAGAACATGCGCTCTTTAGAGCGGCTGAAAGTTGAACATTTGGGCTTGTCAACTTCATGTCTTTTCGGCCCAAGGTTAATGTTTCATTATATACCGTGCGGCTATCCAGCGGTCAGAATATTGTCAGCACGTAGACAGAGATACTAAAGTCTGTAAGGAAATTACATCTTCAAACTTTAGGTCTCTAAAAACAAATATTTAGTGACATAAATGCATGTGAAAGAGCGACGTGAACCGTTTTTTTAACTAGGTGTTTTCTGCCCCCGCAAAGCTCTTGTGTACTTGTTTGAGGAATTGTTAAGTCACGTAATATTTGATGCACTGGCACGGATCTTCTTCGATCACGTGATGACTAGTTGACTTGCTAGTATAGCTGCTTTACCTTCTGACCTACATACATCACACAGCCACATGTGTGTTTAAATTGTTCAGAAACGTTTCTTCAAGGTAGTGGTAACTTTTGATAACTGATGCTGGTTGACTTGTTACATTAAGGTTGTTTATTTCACGATACAAGTTTATCAGGTTAAAATGACTACATACAAAATAACCCTGTTTCCGTGTATTAAATATCTGAGTCTTTTTGTTTATTTAGGTGATTATGGCGATCGACTCGCAAAAGGCGGGCGGGTCGCGGGTTCATATTCCCGTCCCATCAAAGATTCTTTCCCTTTTAGCCATAGGGGACGTTATAAAGTGACTGTAAATCCCACTATTCGTTGGTAAAAGAGTATCCCAAAAGTGATGACTAGCTGCTTCCCCTCTAGTCATTCACTGCTAAATTAGGGACTGCTAGCGCAGATCGCTTTGCATGAAATTCAAAACAAACAAACTAGACATTGTGTTCACAGTATATTGTTTTATATATACCACAAAAGATGACTCTGGTTCGTCGGTGGCTCACCTGTAAGCTTGAGGGCTTATTACACTGAAGCTTGGTACTTTACAAGAAACAACCAGCATCGTCATGTTGTAGTTAGAATTTGGCCCATGTTTTATGAGCCTAAGCCTTCTACATCATATGATAACTATGTTAATACGTGATTTTTAAATTACAAACAGTGGCCAGTTTAAGTCTTCTATATCTCATGATATTAATGTTAATTCGTGATATCCAGATACAGCCAGCTACTAGCCTAAATCCTCAATTCTTATGATAGCAATGTTTATATGGTACTTTTAGATTACATGATCTACGAACCTAAGCTTTTTATATTTTAGGTAACAATTTTGATGTTCAGCTTATAACCACGTAACAGCATAGATCTTCTAGATCTTATGATAACAATCTCGATACCCAATTCCAGATTACAACCAGCTACGAACCTAACCTTTCTACACTTTAAGACAGAATTGTTTACACATGAAGTACAGCTATAAACTTAAGCCGTCTGTATCTTAGAGTTAAAAGAGCTACTACCATAAGGTTTCAATATTTTATGATAACAGTATTGATACATGTTCTTAAGATTACCATCAGCATTGAGCTAAAGTTCATCTTAAGTTAACAGTGTTGGTAAATCACTTTTATATTAAAACTAGATAGAAGCCCAAACGCCGTAAATAAGTCCTGACTCGATGTCCTCAACGTTGGATCTTGTTGTTAATAACTCATGACTCGATGTCCTCAAAGTTGGATCTTGTTGTGAATAATTCCTGAGTCGATATCCTCAGCGATAGATTTTGTTGTGAATAACGCACGACTCGATATCCTCAACGTTAAATCTTCTTGTAAATAAGTCGTGAGTCGATATCGTCAACGTTAGATCTTGTTGTGAATAACTCGTGACTCGATATCCTCAACATTAGATATTGTTGCCAATAACTCATGACTCGTTGTCCTCAATGTTGGATCTTGATGTGAATAACTAATGATTAGATGTCCTAAACGTTAGATCTTGTTGTGGATAACTCCTGACTCCATGTCATAAACGTTAGATCTGGTTGTGTATAAAACTTGACTCAATATCCTCAACGATAGATCTTTTTGTGAATAACTCATGACTCAGTGTCATCAACGTTCGATCTTGTTCCAAATAAATCATGACTCGATGCCCTCAACTTTGGATCATGTTGAGAACAAATCTGGATTCGAAATCCTCAATGTTAGATTTTGTTGTGAATAACTCCTGACTCCATGTCCTAAGCGTTAGATCTGGTTGTGAATAAAACTCGAGTCGATATCCTCAATGTTAGATCATATTTTCACTAACTCATGACTCGATGTCCTCAACGTTGGATCTTTTTGTGTATAACTCCTGATTCGACGTCCTCAACATTACATCATATTGTAAATAACTACTGACTCGATATCCTCATCGTTACATCTTGTTGTGAATAACTCCTGACTGGTTGTCCTCATCGTTGGATATTGTTGTCAGTAGGTCCTGAATCTATAAAATCAACGTTAGATCTTGTTGTTTATATTTCATGACTCGATGTCGTCAACGTTGGATCTTGCTGTGAATAATTCACGAGTCGATGTCCTGAGCGTAAGATCTTGTAGTGAATAACTCCTAACTCAATACTCTAAACGTTAGATCTAGTTGTCAATAACTCGCGACTCGATGTCCTCAAATTGGATCTTGTTATGAATAATTTATGACTCGATATCCTCAAAGTTGGATCTTGTTCTTAATAATTTATGACTCGATGTCCTCATCGTTGGATCTTGTTGTTAATAAGTCCTGACTTGAAACTACAGCGTAGGATGTTTCCGTGAATAAGTCCTTAACAGATGTCCTGAACGTTAGATCTTGTTGTGAATTACTCATGACTCGATATCCCCAACGTTAGATCTTGCTTTGAATAACTACTGACTCATTGTTATATCTTGATGGGAGTCACTTCTGATTCGATGTCCTCAACGTTAAATCTTTTTGGAGTTACTCTTCACTCGATGTTCTCAATGTTAGATCTCATTTAAAGTCGCCAAATATTTCTGTTATAATATGAATGGTTGTTGTAGTTGGAATTCTTATTACGTGAACGTGTTTTTATATGATCTTACTTTATAGTCCACACACACATAAGTAGGAATTTTTAGTGCTTATAATATTTTTTTACTGAAGTTACGTGTCAGTAGTAAACAATATTTACTTGAACAATACAGTCTACTCACTTTCAAATATTCTTCTTTTTCAATTTATTTGATTGTTGAATTTGGAGCAAAGCTACTCGAGAACTAAGTGTGATAGTTGTTCCAAATTTTGAAGTGATAGACTAGAGAGAAGATAACTAGTCAACATCACACACCACTAACTTTTATGCTACTCTCTTATGAACGAAATCTTGGTATTGACCAACGCATTATAGTGTTCACACGGCTGAAAGGACGAGTATATTCGACAACGGTATCGATCTCGCGCTATTGCAGTTCGAGTGTCCTGCTGACAATGTAATTTGTTTTTCAGATCCTCTCTTAAAAGTCACAGCCGTCAAAAAAGAAATGAATAAAATTCAGGGAACATATCGATATGACAAATGATTTAAGAAACTTGTCAACAGATGGCGGTATATTTGCAGTTACAACATAATTGTTTTCTTACACTTCAGATGCTCTTAACCTTTTCTCTTAAAATAATCTATATAACTCTCTTCGATATTTTTCAACTGATAGATATTTTTTTTCTTTTTAGTCTGAAAACTACAACATTTAATTCTATAAAGAACCATTATTTTAATGAGAGAAATATAGTACAAACTATTCTCAAGTTTGCCAGAATTATTATGATCTAAAGAATATAAGAAATAATATTATGACAGTATATACAAGTTAGCACGATTTATTATTATATGCTAAATGAAACAAACATGTTAACTTCGTATAGTTCGTATAATATTATATACCAAGTTTGCAGAATTTATTCTAATCTGCTAAATAAAATCAATATGGTAATATGATATACTGAAGTTGGAAGAATTTATTATAATCAGCTAAATAAATCAAACATGTTAACATGATATATCCAAGTTGGCGGGGTTTATTATACTCGGCAAAATAAAACAAACATGTTAAGATGGCATGCCTAAATTGACTGAATTTATTTTTATCAGCCAAAAAAAATCCACTTGTTAAGATGATACACTCAAGTTAGAAGGATTTATTATAATCAGTTAGATAAAACAAATATAT